TTTGCTGTCTTATTCCCCTGCATGAAGGCCGACTACCGATCGACTGAAGCATGACACGTTCAGTGCGACTGTGGTGTCTGGCTAACGTTTACTTCTCGCAGCAGAACGACTCGGTGTACCCTGCGATCGTACACACATGTCGCGCCTCTGTACCCCTTCTCACCCCTGCCGGCAAAGCCAGTTGCGCCACTGAACAGTTAGCACTTCAGCGTACCCGGGTACGTCAGCACCGGAGTGCTGCCGCTCGTAGCTTCGGACATGATGAATAAAACATCCTAGCTCACCTGCATCTAGGCAGTTTCGAGGCGACTACCTGTGGATTAGAAGGTAGACACCTAATCCAGCCGACCAAATATCATAATTCAAGGCCCCTCAGTTAAGTATTTAATAAGGATTTACCAATCCACGACAACCTTCAATTCCTACGACAAAAGTTGACACTCGCAAATAGTATACAAGCTCCGCTGACCTACGTGCTCAAGGAGTACACTGGCTGTTTCATCGAAGAACTATTTGAGTCAATCATTGGAACCAGTCAAATCCGTGCTATCAAAAAATTTCTGCTAATTTATACAAACTAGTCGGTGTAACCGAGTTCGTTTTCTCCTTATCGCTCTACGATCTCGTCCAGGAAGTGAATGCCTGTTGTGCTTGAGATGCAGCCTTTTGACACCTAACGTCATAAATAGGCAGTGGTAGGACCGCGGCTTGCCACAGTCTTGTGATCCAAGTAAGCTGCTTGTGTTGATTGATTTCATTTATTATTTCCGTAGGCCAATTAACGCATGATTTCGCACTTCTAAATCCTTTGCTTCTTTCTGAGTAGTTCACTGGAGTTCATTGGAGTGGTAGAGAGCAGAAGGGGAATCCCGTGTCGGTTCCTTGGCTTCGCAGTTCAAAGCAGGGATTGCGCAGATCATTACGATATCCCATTCATAGGGTACCGTCACAACCGCAGCGAAAACAGCACAAACTTTGCTTGCTCAGCAGATAAGCATCCAACAATCATGTGAAAATTTCCTCACTCTGTGCGCTGACGACTGGCTCCGGTAAATTGTTCCAACCAAGCACCACACGGATGGATGGGGAACCTTCTCGGCCTAAACAGTTTCCTGGTGTGACTCCTTGTCGAACTATCAACTCTGAATTGAAAAACTTTAATTTCTTTCCCATCGTCCCTCACAGAATGCGCTTGGTGTAAATCAGGTCACCAAGGCAACAACGGTAATCCAAGCAAAACATGTCCATCATCCGCATTCGCTGGTCGTAAGACAAACTGCGGAACGCAGAGGTCGAATTCGACTCTGGTCGTTGGGACCGTTTCTAGAAGAACACGTTCGGTCTTTGTAACAGGCTAGACCGCGGGTGTGCCGTATTCGAGGATGGGGCGTATATGGGAAGTGAACAGGAATCTGAAGACCTCCGGAGTCAAACGGGAGTAGGATCGCCTAATGGCACAGAACATCCTATTGGCAGCCGCTGCTCTCCTCAAGGTGTCCTGAGTTGTGTGCAAATCAGCAGACGCAAGTACACCAAGATCCTTCGCACAAGCAGCGTCCTTGTGCAAGAAGCCAACCATGTGATAAGCACCAACCGGGTACGGAGCACCGATAGAGTGGACTGAACACATTTCGTAATTGATGGGCAATTGCCACTCCAATGACCAGCTGTGCAGGCGGTCAAGGGTCTCTTGCAACCGGTCAGCATCTTCAAGCTCGACCATTTCCAGCCATAGCATTAAGTCGTCAGCATATAGCAAGCAATCCGTACAGAGCTCTGATGGAAGGTCGTTGATGAATAGTTTGAACAATTCAGGACCAAGGACGGAGCCTTGTGGAACTCCACTAGTCATGAGAACAGAATTAAAGTTTGTAGACCTTCACTCGCATCCCATGGCCTTTAAGAAATCGGCGATACAGGAATCTCCCCAGAAACACTAATACTCCGAAGTGTAAAGAGGAGCCGTTCGTGCGAAACTTTATCAAATGCTTTCCTGAAGTCGACAAAAATGACGTCCAGGCGAATGACAGAATCAAACGATTTAGCCCATTTTCTATGGCCACAAGCAGGTTGGAGGCACACGAGCGTGCCCTGCAGAAGCCATGTTGAGCGGAAGAGAGGATATTCCCATTATCAAGGTGGCGATTAAAAGTCCACTTAAGAATTCTCTCCATGACTTTACACGCTATGGAAATCAAACAAATTGGCCAAGATCCTGACGATTTCCACCCTTGTATATGGGCTTAACGGTACCTATTACGCAAGCAAGCGATAGACGTCCTACATCGAGGGATCGCTGGAAAAGTTGGCAGACAGGTACAGCAATGTTTTCAGCCACTGCTTTGAGAAACAAAGGATGTAGCCCATCAAGAATGGGTGAGGAGTTCGGATTTAGTTCGAGGAGAAACGTGGCAACCGAATCAGGGCTGATTTTTAGGTGCTCTAAAGTGAAGAGGGGTGCAGGCACAAGGTAACTGGCAAACGGCGGTTAAGTCGAAAAGTGAAGAATACTGCAGGCCAGGAGCCCCGCTTTTGCATCATCATGAAGTAGATTATGATCTAGGTTGGAACACAAAACAGGTATTACACTACAAGCTTTCCTAGGTCTCCTCAGATAGGAGAAAAGTAGCTTGGGAGCGGCTGAATATTCTTCAGATAAGCAGCGCTCGTATCATTGTCGTTTCTCATGCTTCTTTGAGATGCAGATATTCTTGACCACATTGTAAGCAAGGCAGTCCAAAGGTGGGTGCGAAATTTTGAACTTGTCCCAGAATTTACGTCGGCTCATAAGGGAGTTTAACTCACGATCAATTCACGGAGGGATTTTGGAGAGTGAAATGACCTGAGTTATGAGTGACTTGAACTTGGAGTACAGGAGGGTCCAAGCACCATCAACGTCTAAGTGAGGCGGGATACTCCCGTCCATAGCACCGGCGGCAGTTTTCAAACGGAGTCGATCCGCACGCCAGAAGTTCCGACGGCATACTCCCTGATCGTGGATGGTGAGATGCCGCATCCAACGAAAGGAAACCACTCAGTGGTCACGTTTACAGATTGGTTGGAGAATAGTCAAATCGGAAACATTTGACTCTGCTAGTGTGAGCACAAGATCGAGAATGTGTGGCGACTGACCAGGACAAATTCTGGTGGGCATTGTAACATGATGAAGCAGAGGGAAAGCAAGCACGGTTTCAAGGAAGGTTGCATTAAAAGAGTTCGGGGTGAGATCAAAATGGAGTAATTCCCAGCCGATACCAGCGGCGTTAAAGTTTCCCAATATCAGACAATTGTTGCCTCTCATGTCTACTAATAGAGTCCAGCATGCGTACTCCGGAACCCAAAGGGGCACTATAAACAACTCCAACCATAAGAGACCTGCATCCGTCATGTATCCGACACCACAAAGTTCAGATTCATCTTCATTGTCACATATGGCTTCAACAAGATGACCCTTAAAGTCTTCTTTCCAGTATAGAATCACACCACCTCCAGGCCTAGCACCAGAGCGATCCACTCGAAATAGATTATACCCTGAAATATGTACCGAGTCCAAGATGTCCGAAAACAGCCAAGTCTCTGTGAAAATCATAAGGTCTGGGGGATTCTCAAAGGCAAGGAACTGAATTTCATTAAGTTTGTTTCGTAGTCTACATACATTGGCAGATATCGCCCTAAAATCACTCGTCAAGCTTACCACCCGGGTGCAACAAAAATTGGCCTAAAGCAAACTCTAGGAGCTTTCTGAACCACACGAAAATCCACAATGTAGAAGTTATTCTCAGGATTTGCCCGGCGTGTTCGTAGTTCTTCCACAACTTTTTTTATTCGGACTCGATCCTCCGGGCAGAGATCTCGCAAAACGTTTCGACCTTAAAATGTTGGGTCCATCTGAGAATGCGGCGACACTCATCCTCCTTTTGACAAACAATCTTGAGGGGACGAACTTTAGGATCTACTTGCTTTCTGCCAAAACGAAAAGCAGAGACAATATTGATCCCTTGCTCACCTTCATCAAAAGAGGGAGACCATCCGCCTTAGAAACACCTGGTCGTCTAGGATCCTTACAGCCGGAGAAGCCTTGTTAGATTCATGGTTACGAGGAGTAGCTTTTTGCACTCAGGGGGTTGGGACTTGAGAGGCATATTGCTCTTAAAAGGGCTTCGCAATTGGTTTACTCGGGCGAGGACCAGCTTCAGTTCGGAAGGAGCAGGTTTTTGGAGTTCGGCTTAACATCACTTATGGTTTTCTTCTCACGCAGAGTTTAATTCTGCTAGCAGATGCTTTTCAGCACACTCAATACTGCCGCATATGTCTTGCCCTTAGACTCAAAGTTGCCAACATCAAGTGTTAGGGGCTCCGATAGCGACGATGATGGAACGCGACTTCGTTTACCAGAGGGAGTGATTGATCCAGTGACAGAAAGTGGCAGTAAAGTTACCAGCGGTCAGGCAGCGGTGCAGATCTCTGTCTGTCTAGGAAGTGCGGGTAGACCAGAGGTGTGCTGTTCACCAGCAGCTATTTGGTTTTGGCATAACAGTGTACGCTCGGAATTGATTACAGAATGAGTTGAGACTTCAACGGGTTACTTTTGAACAAAAGAACAATTCCTCATAACTTTTTCGTGTTTCCGGCCAAATGGATATGAAGTGGCCCGTATGACAGATACTGGAAAAGCAATTAAAAGATATCATGTCATCTTGAATCTGGCCAGCACGAAACTTCACGCACGCAATTCCCTCGAAATCCTGGTAATAAGGGTACTTTAAGTCGTAATGAACGTTTTAGACTCTCACATTGTCGATGTTGTATTTGTTATTGAACCATATATTTTTTGGTTCAGTTTATTGAAAAAATTGTTTATAAACAAACAATCGCCTGGGAGATAAAGCTGTTCCAACTAGGTTATTCGCATGTGACACTACAGACCTAACACATCCTCCAAAGCCCCCACTCCAATTTTTCACACCAAAAATAACCCCCTTGCATCCCGTATTCTATAGCTACCAAATGTTGCAATAAAAAATACGGGCACCATGCTAGAGATCAGTCCAGTCAACGAAGAAGCAGCTGGGCAATATCGTTGCCAAGGCTCCAATGAACAGACGAGGACCACGATGAACTCCCAGTACACCGTGCATGTGCAGGGTAAGCCATACGTTTTCAGGTGAGACTTTTTAATTCATGGTCAATATGTCTCAGTGCTTCGCACCATAACTTTAGTAGCGGGTGTCTTCTCAGTGGGCTTCAAAACTGACCCAAATCTTGAGGATTAATTGAGGAATAACATAAATGGTTCGAAAGCGGGATGCACATATCAATTGATGAAGAATTCTACGCGTCTGTTTACTTTAACCATTTGTATAGGCGTAGCCAGTAGAAGGTGGTGAGCCTCAGATAGTTATCTCCATACGCCAGTGGATACTACAGTCGGCAGTTTTAGAGGCAATGGAGTTAAGACTATCCCAGAATCTTTACGGTCATAATGATTGACCAATGATTTATCATGGGCAAAAGAAGTGAATATTTAACATATCACATACGTGGGATGAGTGAAATAGTCGGATAACAAAGTGATGCTGACAGTCTGAAGTAGATGTAAATAGGCTCACCAGGAACTTCAACTGAGGCAATCGATTGTCTGCTTGCTTTTACGCCGGATCAAAGTGAACCTCACCATGAAACATAACGGTCTTAATGTTTTGTTGCAAGTTGTTCGGGTGTCGCAGTTTGCACGCTATGTTCCAACTGAGTATACGCTGACCAAATTCAGCTAGTAATCTTTTACTGTGGTTTATTTGCTTAGTTTTAGGTGCTGACGACGCAAATGGTAGAATTCCTCAGGATCTGCTATTTCTATATCAGAACACCAACATCCACCGTAAACCCCCAGGGCCAGTAGTCGCTGACATCTTCATGAGTATGCTTGAAAAAGAAAGCCTAGCAATCAACCATCGCAAGTGTTAACCTCTACCGCCGTTACGCGGATAACATATTTGTGAGATTTCAGTACTCACAGAATATTGAAGATATTATCAACACTTTTAACCGAGCCCATAAAGCGATGCATTTTTACCGCAGATAGAGGAAAATGGTTGCTCTCACTTACTGAACGTGGACCTAAAGAGACTCGATAGCGGGATATTACAGCGCCACGTATATAGAAAAAGCTTGGGGAACGACCAGTACACCAACTTCCACAGCTTCGTGCCACTGAGACTGAAACGGAATTTAATTAATAATCCGGTCAGTAGAGCAGAAAGGATCTGCTCATATGATACACTTGCAGGTGAACTGCAACGATTATGCTTCATGCTGGGGGAAAATGATTATCCAGCTCACTACATAAAAGTCCACATGAAGAACACATGCATGAACACACCAGTGGTTGTAACGGCTAACAGAAAAGCAATTTGCTTGAAACTCCCTTGCAAAGCGGAAAACGCTGCAGAAGTTTTTAATCGCCGTATATCACAGGAGCCCAGGCGGATGTTCCCAGCAGCAAATTACACACCTACTTTAGCAGCACACCGATGGTGAAGGTCAGCCTCAAAGATAGTAGACCTGTCCACAACAACTCCATGTGCATCTATTCATTTACCTGTTCCTGTGGAGCAGGATATATTGGTCGTACGACTAGGTGTCTATCCGAGAGAATGAATAAACACCGTCCCGCATGGTTAGCGAATGGATGCAGAAAGGTATGTAACTCAGTCGTAGCTGCCCATCTTGCCGACAAAGCGCTCAGCCCTAGGCCAGCGGAAGCATTCTAACTTATCTACATGCCCCCGGATGATCGATCGAGGTATATGCTCAAGCAGATACTGGAATCTACTGAGACTATAGCAATCCGGTCGTACGAACCAAAGTTATGCACTCAGAAACGATTTGTTCAGGCCTTACAACTGCCCTGGCCCGATCGAATAGTGAATTTTACTCGGTTGGATTGCATGAAGGCGTCGCCATCGACCTGATTAATGGTGATAGCTAACTCTTCTAAACTGATTTTACCCAGTTTTAATGACCCCAGCAGTCTGGCAAATCAATGTAGTTGATATATACTTGCATTAGCCTGATGAAGAGTTATTGAATATGTTCGCTAATACTGACCCCCAAGATTCTTAGCCTGTTAGTAACAGAGACATAACTACAAATTTATATTCCTATGCACCCTCCGATCCTGGACCTGGAGAACGATAACATAGTGATTTTGTCTGGGCTTCCAGGTACAGTTGACGTAGACTGGATGGGATTTAAAGTAAGCATTGAGAATACAGAAGAAGTTGTAAGCATCTAATGCTCCTTGTTGTACGGATCACATATCAGCGGTTTCGAATACTTCGTTTTCCGGGCAATTGCTTTGTTTAAATAATCGTTTACTTATCCGCGAATCCGTCTACTCTCAATGGCACTTTTAGCTGAACCAGTTACTAGGAAGAATGAATGAACAGTCAAGGGTAATCATCGATAGCGCCTCTGATCGCGGAGAGTTCGTGGCTGATCAATTCTTATCATTAAATGCCGCAAGAACCCGTGCGGCGCGGTGTCAAAGCCAATGTGACCGGTTATGTGGTCACTGACTACTCACTTCTGTAAGCAGGAGTGAATGCATAACGGAGAGCCGCTGCTCAACGTCGGTGGCCACAAGCTTCTGAACAGGCTGACATACTAACAGTAACGTGTATGAGACAAACAGCTGCCAACCGTCTTCGTGTCTGGTGGCGCGTTCGGTGATCTAGGAAATGTTTCCTGGCCACTATGTGCTATATCCGGATTATAAGGGTGACATTAGCAGTTTTTCATTACTCGAAAGGGTGTTATCCAACACCTCTTTACCGAATTCCTATGGTTTGTAGTGTAAATTATTCGTCTCGTTGCCTTGTCCCTCAGGCCCACATGATCTAAGACTGCTGCTGGGTCCGCTAAGTCAACGCTCTTCGTCGACTTAGGCAACCGAGAAGTTCTGTGCAATCAGCCGAGGTGGTAGCGGCCGGTTCTGCAAAATCATGCTCTGACTCCCTACCTATTACAGCTTTTTTCTACATTTGTCAAATTATCCCATGCTCCATAAGCCTCACTTTTTTGGACTCTCCACCTTCAGTAACATCTCAACCTGTCGGTGGGCACATTACGATAGACTATGCGTAATCCAGTCGTACAGACAAAAGTTTCTAGCTTTCTGGTTTTCAAATCAAGTTAGCCAAATGCAACGTTCCAACGCTCCTTCTGATAAGAGCACAGACGCCCCTTGTTTGGACCCTTGAAACACACGTCATCGATGCCTGTTGCCTTACGGTGCTCTACTTATTGGACTCCAACACGACCCTACGACTAATATCACCTGAATGCTTCCACAGAACAGTCATGCGCTACGCTTATAAGTAGGTGTGACTATTGAAGCCTCAGGCGAGACCTGTGCGAAAGTTTTGCTAAATACGCGCGCAGAAGCAGTCTATTATTCGCAATAAGTTTACCAAGGTTCGAAGGTTGTACCTGCAGTTATGCAACCAAACCTTGTTTGTCCTAGGGTCGCATGCTCCCATGAATGATTGCAGGACTCAATCAAGATGAGTTCTGCCACCAACTCTCCGACCTTCCCCAAAAAAGCACTGCATGGACATTGTGGCATGTACAGGAGATTTAAACAAGGAAGCAGCTAGACTCGAAACTGTTGAACGCGAACTCGGTGATCACCTCGGCCATGATACCATCAGAACGGATAACACCAATACCCTTCTACAGCTCTCTTCAGGCCACGGCTTATTCCTCTGGAGTACATAATTATGTCACTGGTAGCGCCAGGCCTTCACCTGTCAACTTCCCTTTCGTTAACAGTCTTTGACACAGACTAACAACATCGCCATCATTCTTCGTTAGCTGGGCTGTATAAAGAACCGCGAATCAAATTAACTTATCTACCTAAACTCTGACTGCGAACTTGTTGGAACTAAAGTTACCTTGGATTTTTAGTAACATTGGCAGTGTCGCTGAAAACGGCTTGATGTAGGCAAACTAGCCACTTCAAATATTCTCAGCTCTTTCCAGATTGCGTAGGATGCATGCTAAAAGCCATCCGCTTCCGGATATTGAGACACTCAATGTTAGACTACCGTGCAATCTACTGGGGTCATCTTAGATCTTACTGGGCACACCATCAATCCATAAACTTCCGCTTTATCTGTTCAACTGAGGAAAACAACGCGGGAAAAATCTTCTTGGTGTTGCGTACCACTTACTTAACATAATAACAAACTCTGCGTTCAGCTGGCGTCTCATCGAAGATCGCAAAGCCTGGCGGACACAACGTGCTACTGAAATAGAACAAGCCGCCTCTTCATGAAATTTCCGCAGATTTTTCACTGTGATTTGGGCCACCGGAGGAAATATACCCACTGTAGGCGAAGTACTGTGCAAAACCATCTTTGAGCACATTCACAGTCACTAGCACTGGCTTGTATGTTGGACAGGGCACTTTGAACAGATATTCATATATGGCCACCACAGACTAAGAGTTTTCTAGTGCTCCACAGTGCTTAAGCTCCTCACCGTTATCCACCGCGGAAGTTTCCTACGAGCTTCGTCTTTTGAAACGTCACGAATGCCCTGGCTCAGACGAACTGCCTCCGACACTTTTCAGGGAAGCACATCCGTCGCTGCTCTGCGAACTAACTACCCCACTTCACTGAAGGAATCACGACTTATTGGAGTTTATTGGACATAACACCGTCTTTGAATAGGTGACAGAACAGACTGTGACAGGTATCGATGGCTTAGCCTCCAAGGTGACGCTGGTTTCCTTGCTTCGTATGGTATTACCTCACTCCCACAACTCTATTTGTTATGCCAATGCTCCATCGTTTCACCGCAAAGCGTTTTATTTGGTCCACCTTTGTAGTACTCTAATTTGTAATTTCTTCTATTACTAGCCTACGAGACATGTTAATTTTCATGCTATTTATTCGTTACCAACAATTGTTCCGCTGTTCCTCTACCTTGAACCGCCTGCACATCACTTCGGTATCCCCAATGTCCCTCTTCTTAATGAACCTCACCAATGATGAGATTTATACTGGGCTGTGGAAAACCGTAGGTCTAGTGGTCTTGAGTTACTCCTTTGTAATCGCCTTGAATTATGCTGGTGACATCAC